GGGCAAGGGAGAGATGGAGAATTACGTGGGTGTGGGGAGGAGGAGGACGACGACGACGATCACAAAAAGCTCGACGACGTCGCCGAAGGCGCTGGCGGATTCGAAGAAGGAGATCTCGCAAACACTCTGAGGAGCCACCTTGGCTCAAAAAGCGCTGCTTGGGGAGCCTGGGCGCCGGCTAGAACTCCTCAGGGTGCGAGCATGTCTGGGCCAACCTCCCCCCCCTCTCCCGGCGCAGCCGCCCGCCATGGCCTCGCGCAGGCCCTGCACCTTCACGAACCCCCCGCGAGCGTCCTCCAGCACCTGGACAAGGGCGGGGGGGGGGCCCGGGACGAGAGGCCGCGCGGGCAGGGAACCCGTTGCACTGGGGCGCCGCGTGCCCGGGCCGGCGAGATCAGCAGGGAGGAAAACCGCGTGGGTGGAAACTGACGTCGGGCCGATGCTGTACCCAGACCCCCTCGAGCAATGAAAAAATCATGACGGGAGGTTTTTCCTACTTTTCGGCCTCTGGGGGCCCTCACCGGGCCTCGGGAGCGTCAAAAAACGACTCAGGATGCAAAGCCGGTCATGGGGAAAGGGTCGGGACCTCTGGGGGTCGACGTAATGAAAAAAACATTACGTCGGGGGTCTGGGTAAGCAGGTGGAGGTGCGGTGGCACACCTCCCCACGGCCGTGTTCGCTGGTCGAGGGAACCTCCCCAGATGGTCGTGGCCTAAGAACATGTTGGCACCCTGGACCCCAAATGTGCGAAGAACCTCAAGAATGCGGACCTCTTGGGAGTCCAGGGCTCATTTTTGGGGCCCACGGCACGCCAGTGCTCATTTCTTGGGGCTATGGCCAATGGGAAATGGAGCCTGCTGTTGGGTCTTAACCTCGCTACTCATACTTGGGGATATGGGATGAGTTTGGGGGCGCAGCTTTAGGATGCATTCTTGACGAGGATCATACGGACTTGGGAGAGAGAGAGAGAGAGAGAGAGAGAGACAGAGAGAGAGAGAGAGAGAGAAAGAGAGAGAGAAAGAGAGAGAGAGAGAGAGCGCGCGCTAACTGGACAGCGTCCTGCCCGCATGCGGGCAGCGCGGTGGCGCCTCAGCGCCTCAACTGAAGGCCACGGTTGTCCAGCCACCGTTTGCGCGGGCATGCTTGCCGTCGTCGGTGGTACGGCTCGGACGACGACCACTGCAGAACCCAGTAAGCCCATGCGAACTCTGTAGTCTCTGCAACCATCTGCGCGCCGAAGATCGGTGCGATGCAACCCAGTCTGGTAGGCTGAGACGCTACAGGTGTTGCTCTGCGTTGCGAGTGGTCCTCTGTATCCTACCCAAGGCTCCAAAACACCCGAGGCCCCATCTGTGGACCCATTGCTAGATGCACTGCTTGTTGTCGTGTTAGTGTAGTGTCTGGTATACGTTTTAGGCCTGCCATCCCTCCATCACCTCCCCAACCAAGGCGGACGGGGGGGGGAACCCCGGGCTACCTGGCCCCCGTGAAACCCCCCCGGGCGATTCACGAGGGCTGTTCCCGAACGAGACCCCCCCGGGAGACTCGTACGAGAACAGATGAGCAGCCGAGACCCCCCCGGGCGACTCGACCGCTCGGACCGAGACCCCCCCGGGCGAGTCGGCCCGTCCTGGAACCCCCCCGGGCGATCCAGGACCTGCCTACGAGAAAAGCCCCCGCCTAGGGAGACAGGAGCGGGAGCTGAAGGGGGAAGGGACAGGGAGGGGGGCAGAGGGAGAGAGGGCGGGGAACAGGGAAGGCCCCCGCAGGGGCCGAGGACGGACAGGGGGGGAAGGACCGGGGAGGGCGAGGCCTCCTCCCCCGCCCCCTCCTCCCCCTCCTTTCCTCCTTCCCCCCTCCTCCTCCTCCTCCTCCTCCTCCTCCGCCTCTACTACCCTCCGCCTCCTCCACCTCCTCCTCCTCCTCCTCCTCCCTCCTCCTCCTCCACCTCCTCCTCCTCCTCGCTACCTCCTCCTCCTCCTCCTCCTCCTCCCTCCTCCGTCCTCCTCCTCCTCCTCCTCCGACTCCTCCTCCTCCTCCTCCTCCTCCTCCCCTCCTCCTCCTCCTCCTCCTCCTCCTCCTTCCTCCCCTCCTCCCTCCTCCCTCCTCCTCCTCTCCTCCTCCTCCTCTACCTCCGCCCGCCTCCGCCTCCTCCCTCCTCCTCCTCCGCCCCTCCTCCCCTCCTCCTCCTCCTCCTCCCCCTCCTCCTCCTCCTCCTCCTTTGCCTCCTCCTCCTCCTCCGCCTCCTCCTCCTCCTCCTCCTCTCCTCCATCCTCCTCCTCCTCCTCCCCTCCTCCTCCTCCTCCTCCTCCTCCGCCTCCTCCTCCTCCTCCTCCTCGTCCTCCTCCTCCTCCTCCCTCCTCCGCCTCCCCTCCTCCTCCCTCCTCCTCCTCCTCCTCCTCCTCCTCCTCCGCCGCCTCCTCCTCCTCCTCCTCCTCCTCCACCTCCTCCTCCTCCCTCCTCCCTCCGCCTCCTCCCCTCCTCCTCCTCCTCCCCTCCTCCGCCTCCGCCCCCTCCCCCCTCACCCTCCTCCTCCTCCTCCTCCTCCTCCTCCACCCTCCCCTCCTCCTCCTCTCCTCCTCCTCCTCCTCCCCTCCTCCTCCCCTCCTCCTCCGTCCTCCTCCTCCTCCTCCTCCTCCTCCCTCCTCCTCCTCCTCCTCCTCCTTCTCCTCCTCCTCCTCCTCCTCCTCCTCCTCCTCCTCCTCCTCCTCCTCGGGGGGGAGCAGGCGCAGGGCGACCCGGAGATCCGAGGTCGCGATTCCACAACGGGGCCCCCGGAGGTCTGGACCCCTTCCCCCAAGACCCGTCTTTCCTCCCGAGTCCTTCCCTGAGATCCGACGCTCCCAAAAAGTTGGAGCAGGTCCTCCTGCAGAGGGACAGGTCCGACTGAAACCCGGGCGCGCGTACCGCGTGCAGGGCGCGGCTGCTGCCCGGGCACGCTCGCGCGCAACAGACCACGGCGGGAGGCTTCTGGGCGTCCTCTCGGCCTCCAGGGCCCTCGCCGGGCCCCGGAGGCCGCAGGACAGCGAGCCGGGAGGGGAAACCGGCCCTGGGATAGGCTCGGGACTCCCGTGGACACGCATGGAAAAAACAAGACGTCGAACCCTGAGATCCGATGGTCCAGAAAAATTGGAGCGGGCGGTTTTTGACAGTTTTCGGCCTCTGGGGGCCCTCGCCGGGCCTCGGGAGCGTCAAAAAACGACTCAGGACGAAAAACCGGTCCCAGCGAAGTGGTCCGGACCTCCGGGGCCCACGCACCAAAAAAAAAATGTTGGAGCAGCCGGATGTCTGGGTTCTGTGACGCTCCCGCGGCCCGGTGTGGGCCCCAGGAGGCGGAACATGGGCGAAAGCCCAGCGTCGTGATGTTGGGCACGAGGCGAGGAGGTGGGGGGAGGGGACGTGGTCGCTGGAGGTAGGGAAGGGGTATGGTTTAAAGGGGTGTGGTGTTAATTTCATGCAGCGGGGACGCTGGCCATGCTATTTATCGCAGACAGCATCGCTACTTCCACGATTGGCACCATACACCTTTACGCCACACCCCTTTCCTACCTCCCCAGACATCTGGATGCTCAAATTTTTTGGTGCGTGGGCCCCGGAGATCCGGACCACTTCCCCGGGACCGGTTTTTCGCCCTAAACAAAATTTTGACGCCCTCGAGGCCCGGCGAGGGCCCCCGGAGGCCGAAAACTGCCAAAAACCGCCTGCTCCAAACTTTTGGGGAGCATCGGAGCTCAGGGTCCCCAGACATGCGACGTCCTGATTTTTTCAGGACGGCGTCCCTGGAAGCCCAAAACCCTCTCCCCGGTGCCAGTGTTTCGTCCTGAGTCGTGTTTTGAAGGCCCCGAGGCCCGGCCAGGGCCCCCCTGGGACCGAGAATGGCCAAAAACCTACCGTCCTGATCTTTTTACGACGCGATCACGTCTGGGTCCAGACTCGGGGGCGGCCAAGAGGGGGGCGCCCAAGAAGGGGGGGTGCAAGTCATGGCCGGCGCCATGTGCGCGGCCCAGCGGGGGGGCCAGGGGCATAACGAAACAAGAAGAGGCGCCATGAAATCTGGGGAAATATCACGGCCCCCGCCATGATATCCACCCCCCCTAGTCATCACCCCCCCTTTGCCGCCCCCGAAGGTGGCCGGGGACCCCGGCGGGCGCGGGGCCAATGACCGCGAGGCACCGCCCGGGAGCCGTGCCCCGAGGGGGAGCGCCTTGCAGGTGCCCCCGTCCGCGGCGAGCAGGTCGCGCACCGACTCGTTGTAGATGTCCAGGAACGCCACCTGGGCTTCGGTCGGGCCTGTCCCCCTTACAGAAGGATCTGGGGCGAAAAATTGCCCAAACCCTGGAAATACAAAATGCACAGAAATAGTATGAAAATGCACAGACTTCGGTCGGGCCTGTCCCCCTACAGGAGGATTATGGGAAAAACTGCAAGAACCCTGAAAATACCCAAATGCACAGAAATAGCATCGTAAAGAAGAAAAGAAAAATCGTCCCGGGACGATTTTTGTAAACTACTTCTGGATTTCCCCCCTGCAGGGGGACAGGTCCGACTGAAACCCGGGCGCGCGTGCCGCGCGCAGGGCGCGGCTGCTGCCCGGGCACGCTCGCGCGCAACAGACCACGGCGGGAGGCTTCTGGGCGTCCTTTGGCGGCGCGCAGGAGGGGGCAGGGGGAGGGGGGGGAAGGCTTCTTCGAAGGAGGCTGCTTCTTACAAGGCGGCGGCCTTACATCTATACATAAGGACCGCGCCTTCTAAGAAGCAGGGGTGCTTCTAAGAAGCCTTCCCCCCTCCCCCTACCCTGACCTTCCAGGAGGGCTAAAAAATAGCACCCGACGTAAAAACCTATCCCAGAGCTATTTTACGTCTTGGTTTTAGGCTGTTTCGTCTCGTGTTTTAGGTTTTTAGGTTTCCAGTGCTAAAAAATAGCTCTCTGGAAGGTCAGGGCCCTACCCCCCCTCTGCGCGTGGCCGAGTCCTCTCGGCCTCCTCCTCCTCCTCCTCCTCCTCGGGGGGGAGCAGGCGCAGGGCGACCCGGAGATCCGAGGTCGCGATTCCACAACGGGGCCCCCGGAGGTCTGGACCCCTTCCCCCGAGACCCGTCTTTCCTCCCGAGTCCTTCCCTGAGATCCGACGCTCCCAAAAAGTTGGAGCAGGTCCTCCTGCAGAGGGACAGGTCCGACTGAAACCCGGGCGCGCGCGCCGCGCGCAGGGCGCGGCTGCTGCCCGGGCACGCTCGCGCGCAACAGACCACGGCGGGAGGCTTCTGGGCGTCCTCTCGGCCTCCAGGGCCCTCGCCGGGCCCCGGAGGCCGCAGGACAGCGAGCCGGGAGGGGAAACCGGCCCTGGGATAGGCTCGGGACTCCCGTGGGCACGCCTGGGAAAAACAAGACGTCGAACCCTGAGATCCGATGGTCCAGAAAAATTGGAGCGGGCGGTCTGTGGCAGTTTTCGGCCTCCGGGGGCCTTCGCCGGGCCTCGGGAGCGTCAAAAAACGACTCAGGACGAAAAACCGGTCCCGGGGAAGTGGTCGGGACCTCCAGGGCCCACGCACCAAAAAAAAATTGGAGCAGCCGGGTGTCTGGGAACGTCTGGGTGAGAGGCGCGCGGGAGCCAACTGACGAGCCAGAGAGACGCCAGCAGGAGCATCCATGGAGGGGGCGGCGCGGCGGGGAGGGGGTAGGCCAAGCAGCGGCGGGCAGGAGGGGTCTCGGGTCACAGAGGTGCTCACGTGTGGTGCAGGCGTCCACCAATGCCCGTCCCCAGGACGGCCCAGAGATACCCCCGAGACTGCGCCCGAAGGCGCCTGACGGCCTGACGGCCCAAGGGCGCCCTAAGACCGCCCCAGAGAGCCCAAGATTGCCCAAGAGGGCCCTTGGGAGGCCCCCGAGAAAGCCCATGGGGCCCGAACAAAAAAACTCCAAGACAGCCCGAAGACGGCCCCAGAGAGTTACTCCCTAGTGCTCCCCAAGATGGACGTTTCTCCAACAGCTGGGGAACACCAGCGTGGCCGTATCAGCGCTCGACATTTCACCACACGGGCGCTTCCAAAAGGGCGGGGGGGGGGAGGGAGACTCGCTGGAAGTATCTTCGATGACAAGGCCGACCACATACATCCCAAGCACAAGGCAGAACAGCTCTCGCCAAGACGATGACGGGGATGAGGCCCGTCGCTGCTTCGGATCTCTTCACTGTGCTCGTCGTGGCTTTCTGCACGCTCCCGTATCCACTACGAAACAAATATTGCAGACCACCTTCTGCTCGTCTTTCGCCAACAGGCGGGAGGAGGATGATGATGATGATGATGATGATGATGATGCTGATGATGCTGCTGATGATGATGATGATGATGATGCTGATGATGCTGATGATGATGATGATGGTGGTGATGGTGATGATAATGATGACGATGACGATGACGATGACGATGACGATGACGATGATGATGATGATGATGATGATGATGATGATGATGATGATGATGATGATGATGATGATGATGATGATGATGATGACGATGACGATGACGATGACGATGACGATGATGAGGATGATGATGAGGAGGAGGAGGAAGAGGAGGAGAGAGGAGGAGGAGGAGGAGGAGGAGGAGGAGGAGGAGGAGGAGGAGGAGGGCGGAGGAAGAGGAGGAAGACGAGGAGGAGGAAGATCGGTGACATCTCGGGGGTGCGGCACGTGTCAGGCGCGGGAAGGAAATGAGAAGGCCCAAGGCGCATCGCCGAGCACACATTGATGTCCCCAGTGCTTTCCTGATTCTAAAACTGAAGGGACGTCCGGGATGCACCTGCTGGGCGGGCGGTTTCGCATCCGTGGCCAGACAGGCGGCATGGGTAGAACAACAAAACATTAAACTAAACTTTCGAAGGTCTGCGTGGATGTCTTGGATCGACGATTGACCCCCCTCCCTGGCGCGCGGAGCACACCAGGGGCGGCGCCGGAGGCGTCGCCACAGTGGCCCAGCGCCGACCCAAGAAATCCGCGAGGACCTCTGGAAGTACATGTTTATATCGTTTTCGGTATTCCGGTTTGGAAAGAGGCCCCCGCAGAGACTGGCCATCGAAGCACGCGCTGGCCTGCCTACAGTGCCACCCGAACGCCTCACGGCCAAGCTGCTCTCGTTCATCGCAGTCACGGCGTGCCTGCCGAGGGCACCCAGAGTGTCTACCTACAGCGACCGGGTCACTCCACTCGCCGAGCGTCGACTTTGATGACCCACGGCGCATACGCACAGCGAGATTGGAGTACCGCGCAGGGCGGCAGCAGAAGGTGCGCCGCGGAGGAGCGCCCAGCGCCACCCACGGGCGCACCGCTGGACAACGGGGGCTGCGCTGATGGCCGACGCGGGGCGGGCGACCGCGTCCTCGTCCGCCGGGGCTGGGGCGCCTGAGCAAGGCATTGACAGGCACGCTGGAGCGCAAGGCCAGCCAGAACCGACCCACGGCCTGGTCCGAGGAGGCGGGCGAACGCTTTTTTTTACAAAGGCAAGGAAGCAGAGGAGAAGGAGGAATCCGCTGCCCCTCAAGGGGGCTATCCTGAACGCACAGCGCGAGCGAGGCCAACCGCAAGGCGACGAAAGCAACCCTTCACACAGCTGGATGAACGGTGGGGACGAGGGTCACGTCCCCATCCTCCTCGCGAACTACCCCATCCACGCGTCGTCCTCCTCAGGCGAAGCCAGGACAGGAGCAGAATCGGATCGGGATACGTCGTGGGATCTCTGAAATCCCGCGGCCCAGAATCGAGGAAGCGCAAACGATTGAGGGCGAGGAGGAGGAGGAAGAGGAGGAGGAGGAGGAGGAGGAGGAGGAGGCGAGGATGAGGAGGAGGAAGAGGAGGAGGAAGAGGAGGAGGAGGAGGAGGAGGAGGAAATCCCGCGGTGCTGGATGATCTGGGAACGTTCTGGAACGATCTATCCCTGTCGGAGACCCGCCCCACCTCCTCAGTCTTGTCGGGTCCTCCTCCGTTGAGATCTGCCGCGCGCGTCGCTCGTGTGGCCGCCTGCGGGCCCCTCTCCCCAGGAACGATGAGAAGGCAACGTCGAGCACGCGGCGGATGGCAGCAGCGAGACGCGGCGCCAGGGCACCGAATGGGCGGTGGAATCGCAGGGCACGCAAAAAACAGTGGGGCCACGAGAGCTGTACATCTCCGCTGCCCGTGGCCAGGCCCGTCCTGGGCCCGGGAGCCGAGCATACGCCCTGCTGGCTTGGCCAGGGGAGCACATACGCGGCGCATGGGCCAAGGATGGGCCTGGCGCAAGTCTCGTCGCGGAAGGCATGAGGCGGCGGCTGGGACGGATGGGGCCGACCCCCCCTCCAGGAACGGAGTGGGAGCTGGGCGGGCCTCGCCGTGAGGAGGAGCAGGAGGAGGAGGAGCAGGAGGAGGAGGAGGAGGGGGAGGAGGAGGAGGAGGGGGAGGAGGAGGAAGAGGCCACGCTCCCTCCACGCTGCGGGGCAGTAAGGCGCGGCACGCCTGACCCCGCACAGCGCCGCGACGAGGTCAGGCTCGCGCCCGGCGGCAGTAGTCAAAGAGGCAAAAGAGGAGGAGGAGCAGGAGGAGGAGGAGGAGGAGGAGAAAGAGGGGGAGGAGGAGGAGAAGCAGAAAGGAGGAGAAGAGGCAGAAAGAAGGAGAAGGAGCAGGAGAAGGAGAACGAGGAGGATGAGGAGCCGGAGCGTAGAACAAGAGCCCCAAACAGCCGACACCCTGCCCACCCCCTCCGGCCGGGCTTCGTAGAAGCCGAAAGTTGGGAAGAGTTCGACGGAAACTTTCTTGGATTTGGCGACATGGGGGCGGGACACGAAGTAAAATACCACGGTGAAAACAAACTTACGCAGGCGAGGACGAAGAAGAGGAGGAAGAGGAGGAGGATAACTGCGAGGATGAGGAGGAGGAGGAGGAGGAGGAGGAGGAGGAGGAGGAGGAGAAGGAGGAGGAGGAGGAGGGGGAGAAGGAGGAGGAGGAGGAGGAGGAGGAGGAGGAGGAGGAGAAGCCCCCTGCACGAAGTAGGGGGCGGCAAAGACGCAGGCCAACCCGACCCGACCATGCATCGAAATCGTGGCTGGCCGAGTCCGTGCGGCACCTCGGCGGGGGCGGCGGGCCGACCCGACCCGACCATGCATCGAAATCGTGGCTGGCCGAGTCCGTGCGGCACCTCGGCGGGGGCGGCGCGGGGGCGCCTGCCCTGGCCAGTTCGGCGAAGCCCGCCGCGACGAGAGAGCCTAGGCCAAACTCCCCGCGACGCACCTGGACCAGCCTGGCTCGCCTTAGCCTGTCCAGAGCCGAAGCCGAGGTCAGATGACATACAAATGTACGAGACTGGCAGGTACGAAAGATGGCATCGATAAGAAGTGCAACGGGCAACTGCACGTGCAAGGACCAGCATGTGGCTGCAATAAGGAAGGGCCCGCATGCGGGCAGGGGCCTGAATAAAGCTAGAAGGGGGGCGACGCAGACAAGCCAAAAGCGAAGCGAACCGAGGACAGATAAGCACGTGCTGTTTCGAGTCAGCACCAGGGATGACGCAGGCTAAACATGGTCGGGAATCAGATCTAAAACTTCGGGATGCGCACCATCGGCTGAACGCCGTTTTTAAGAGAAAAAAAAAAATGGCACAGAACTGGGAACATGCTCGCTCAAATGAAACAGGAAAGACATGGCACGGTCTTCCTGGGCCAGGCTCACTTCGGGCGCAAGATGACACATACGACGCTGAACCATCCCTCGAACCTCCAAAGTACCTGGGTCCCTCAAGAAGGCCTCGGTGGCTATCTGGAGCTTTTTGGCGGCGGTCTCAGGGGGCCCAGAGGCGTTCTCGAGAGAGGCAACGATATCGCCGACAAGCTTGCGGAAGGAATGCGCCCAGAGCGGGCCGCGCTGCCACATGATACGACAGTCGTCAGAGTGGACAAATTCCTTGAGACCTTCTCGAACCCACGAAGTTTTGATGAGAAAGTGCCCATGTCGAGACATGCCTGCACGACACACTAGCCTCAAATCCCGACATTGGACGGGCACGCCGTTCCCTCTTCAGCATTTCATATCCGAGTTAGTGATGGCATGCCTCGGCCAACCCACGAGATTTTGAACCCCCGAGCATGCGCGGCAAGCGTAAGCAGTAGAAGAGCGAGCATACTGCATGATGTGAACCAGCACACTGAAGCCCAACATGTTATAGTGCGAAATAGTTTTGGTCATCCCAGCCCCGCGGTCTCACGCCTGCTCGACCCTCCGGAGATACTTAGTCATGGGGGCCGCCCAGCTAGACCAATGCCCGCCACTCCGAATCACAAGCCCCGGATATCGCCCCAGTCGGGCAAAGGCCCACTTGTTGCCACGAGGCAAGAGCGTCGCAGTCTCTCCGCGATCTCACCATCAGATATACCACCTGAGAAGATTAGCAAAGTCTTCCTGGGGCGAATGCACAAGCCATGGGCGCGCGCAGCCTTGGCCCCGACCTGGATAGAAATACTCAACGCGCCGAACACGTCGCGCGCGGCGGCGCCAAGGTCATCGGCGAAAGCCCCGCGCGGAAACATCGGAGCTGGAAGACGGAAGTACAGATATCTGAAAACAGGATCGGAAGCAAAAGCCCAGGCAGCACCCGACATGGGCCACCCGCGAATAATCCCGCATAAAACCCAAAAACCCCAGTCGCCAGGCCCACGGAAAAAGAGCCGGCACCGGAGTTCCCGAGAGAACGCCTTGGCCCCGCGGACGAAGAAAATCTGACATCCCATCAGAGAGAACGACCAGACAAGCGCGTCGTGAACGATGGGGGGGGGAAAGCATCCCGCATATCGAAGCAGATGTAGCCACTACGCCTAGAACCACGCTGGACAGATGAAGAAGGCGGTCCTGCAGCTCACAGATATTGTCAGTCATATTCCCGTTCTTGACGAACCCCATCTGTTCCCCGACGCAGATCACCTGCACGATGTAGCTTGCAGATAGCCGTGGCCAGCAACACGTTGCCAGAATTGCCTAACGTCAGCGGCCTGGCACCGTCGGAGCTGCCCGTCTCTGCTGACACCTCGGGGATGAAGATCAGATAAGCCCAGTCAAACCTATCATCCTGCGCAACATTCACGAGCTGCACGCACAGTGCCCCAGTGCCCAGTGAACTCCGAAGCGGCACCCAGAGGGCCCGAGGAGCGCTTCCCCGCGGGGCCCAGGACAGCGGCGAGCAGGATCCTTCTCCTTGCGGCCCCAGGCGGACTTGAAACTGCAAGGCCCGTCGGCCTTGGATTTCTGGCACGCGGAAGAAGGTCCCGGGAGTCAGCTCGGTCCAATTCGCTTTGAATACATCCGAGCTGACGCTCACTGATATCCCCATGAAATTAACCACGATCGACAAAGTAATCGATCGCGCCCCCCATTAATCACCACTAGAAGCCAAAGCAAAGTTCGACAAGCACGTCGCACACGGCTGGGGACACGCCGTTGAATGCGCCCCATATCTGCAGGGCACCACGGGAGTTTGTCAGACCAAGAGGTAGCTTTGACAAGCTCGAGATTTCTTGCGGGTGTTTTGCAGGCGGCAACCAGTTCTCGCGAGCATTTTGCCAGCGGCAACCAGGACGTCGGCCATCCCACCTGATGCTACAACGGGGCGGCCATGAAGATCACCCACTCCATCGACTAATTCATCAACAGAGATCCCCTGGCACCATGAAACCGCCAGATTGCGCCCCGGGCGGGAGCGCGACCACCGCAGGCACATGGTCGGACAGCTCGCACAGAAAAGAGGCAGATGCAAGTGCAGTAATAGACGCGCAAAGGACTATAAGCACGGCAGACGGCATAGCGGTGCACTTACGATCGATAGGCAAATGGGACACCAGTTGCACAACATGACTGCCATCGCGACAAGCAACGCGACGGGTAAAATTACGTTGCTGAATCCCCGCGAGATCGTCGAACAAAAGCGTCCGAAGTAGACCCCGACAAGATGCGGAGGCAAAACCTCCCCCATCAACATGGTAAGATCCACCCCCAAAGCTCGCGGAATTAATGTCAACAGCCAAAAAGACAGCAGCCGGACTGGAGTCGCACACGGCCCTCCGAATCCTCCTTGGTCCCGCCATTATATGCCTGGTCGTTACCTTCGGGCCGCGGCGCAGGTTAAAGGTCTGCAAACGCCCCCTCCCACTCTCGAGCAGAAGGCAATGACTCCTGCCGGCCTCCAGCACAATGAAGGCGCGCAACGGGAAGCGCTCGGGCGGCACGGGGGATGGAAGAATGACGCACCCGCCAAAAGTGACAAACGTGAATCTCATTGGAAAAACGTCCAAGGACATAGAGGGCCCCTCGAGCCACTTGAATGCAAACGACCCTAACGGCGACCCGGGAGATCCACAAGTCTGGAACATGCCTGACGGCCCCCCATCGAAGTCGGACCCCAGAGACCCGAATAGCGAACAGCAGCTCCAAGATGCCATGCTGACTTTTGACTGCCTACCAGACCACCCCAACCCAACCCGAAGACCCGAATTTCGGGTTGGGGGGGGTAAGGGTTCCACATGTGTTTTTTCGATGTTTCCCGACCCCCCCCCCAACTGGAAATCGAAGGTAAATCTGAGCCTTCGGGTTGGGTTGGGGTGGTTTGGTGGGCGGTGAACTTTGGCGGAGGGGGGAGAACGGACGCAGACCGGGGCGAGCCGCAGACTGCCCGCCAGGAGAAGAGGAGGCAGATCAGGACGAAGAAGAACCACTGCACGAAGAATCAGACGACGAGGTGCTCGACCCACTCGGGGCAGATCGGGCCCGAGCAGCGGAGCGAAGAAGAAGACCGGCGAGCCAGGCAGGTCCCCAGCGGCGCGGGTCGCAGCAGTCCGCGCGCACGAGACACCATCCAGCACAGCAAGCCTTTCAGAAGCTCGAAACCGTGGGAGTGAAGATGCGCCGCCAATATGCTTGAGCCTATAAGATGGGCCGTCGCACTTGATGCAAGCCCTTCTCCACCCTCACACGTTGTTCGGCCCTGCCTGTGTTTCCTATTGAGATCCAGCAGTCCAAGGTTGAACCGTAGCTTGGCCCATGCCAAATTTGGGTAGAGCCTCTTCCTGCGAATGTAACTGGAATGGATCATTGTCGCCAGCCTCTAAGTGGATGAGAGGGTACACCACATCATCCTCTATGACAAGAAGAACTCTCTTGGAGTCCTGACTGCCAGGCTCCGCGCTTGCCTTCCAGGTATTCGCGGGGATCACGAAACGCTTGATCTTGCCCCACGTGAAGCCAAGGATGCGATTCGCCCCCGCGCGTCAGCAGTGGCATCGCGCACCATCGCGCAGGTTGGTCCAAGACAGCCCTTCTTTGCGAGCCGTCTCCACGAAGTCGTTGGCTGATGCGAAACTGTTGAACGCGATGCGGTAGCTCTTCAGAAGGTTGTACGCTTTGGGGCAGACGTCCTGGGAAGCATGGGACGACTGCGACAACATGGCGGCCGTGAACATCAAGAGTCTTGGAGAAGAGAGCACGGGGAAACCCTCCAAACCAAACTTTGCGTGGAACAATACTGCAGAGCTGGCAGAAGAGGCGCCGCTGGGAACCAATACTGCCCGAGCTGGCAGAAAAGGCTGAAGATGGAATGAAGCACTGAATGTGCACAACCTTGCTATCCAGGATGAGTTCGATGGCCTTGTGTAGCGCGTCTGGAGAACTTCCAATTGAGCCTGCACTCGTATGTTCAAGGAGTCGATATTCTTCTCATGTTCATCGAATGATGCGCACAAGGCCCTCAAGTCGTCGGCCGTGGCCCAGTTCGTCTCCATGCGCGTCGGCTGCTGTTGGATGGACTTCAGCATCGTCATGACGGAGTCATCGTTGTCAACCTTGCCCTTTCCATTCTGCCCTTTACCCAGGTGGCACGCGCAAGCGTATTTATCATGGCTGCCCTCATCCTCCGACTGGCTGCCGAGTCGCCCATGGCGGATTCCTCCTGGGACTGGCTGCCGAAGACCTGAATAGCTGCCATGTCTGCAGTAGGCTGGCTGGCCATCCACACTGCCAGAGACAAGAACTGGAAAGGCCTCAGTATACCCAGTCCTGGCAGAGTGCCACAAGCAAAGAGAAGTGTCCAGAAAGAGACGTGCTCTGGCGCACGATTCTGCGCTGAGGCCTGCCCTCAGAAGTCGGACGCTGAGCCTTGCCCTCGGCTGCGTCCAAGTTCGAAGCGCCAAGCATGCACTTCGAACTTGAGCCATGATGGCTACGGAGGAGGAGGAGGAGGACGGCGACGACGAGCCAGCGGTGAAGCACACCAAAACGCACAGAGGGGGAGACCCAGAGGGGGGGCCGCGCCTTCACCTCGAGGGGCCACCGGTCCTGCGCCCGCGCGAGCGCGCGCCCTGCCCCGACCGCCTGGCGTGCCCCCCTCCTCCTTATCCTCTTCCTTCGCCTCCACATCATCAGTCTCCTCCCCTCTTTATCTATCTCTTTCTTTTTTTGTCTCTCTCTCTCTCTCTCTCTCTCTCCCCCGCCTTCCATACAGATAAACACAAATACACACAGGCATACACATGCGATACGCCATGTAAAATATGCAGACCTACAAGTACACAACCATTCCCAGCATGTACACATGCATCTATGGAATGTAAACATGACGTTCATATATATATATATATATGTAGGTTGACTGTTATATCTATATGTGTATATATACACATATACGCCTGCACCTGTGCATGCATGTATGTTTTTAGTTGCGTACATGTGTATGTGTGTATGCGGATGTGTGTACGTATGTATGTAGGTAGGTAGGTTGGTACGTATGTATGATGGGTAGTAGTATGTATGTATGCGTGCTTATGTGAGTGCATGCATGTACGTGTGCTTACAAGTGTGTATACATATATGTTTGTATGTGTATGTGTATGTATTGTGTATGATGTGTGTGAATGAATGTGCATGTGCGTGTGTTTGTGTGTACGTATGCATGCACGCACGGATGCATAAATGTGTGTATGCATGTATGTGTATGGTTGTGTGTATGCATGTATGTATGGATGTATGTATGTGTGTATGTATGCATGCATGTATGTATGTATGTATGTGTGTGCATGTGTGTATGTATATATGGATGTGCGTATGCATGTATGCGTATGTATGTGCGCATACCAATGTATGGATGTATGCATGCATGAATGTGTGTATGTGTGTATGTAGGTGTGTATGGTTAGTTGCATGCATGCATGTGTGTAGTACTGCATGCATGCATGTAAGCTTGCGTTTATGTAAGTATGTGTATGCGTATATGTGTATGTCGGTCCGTCCATTTGTCTGTCTGCTTGTCTGCATGTATGTATATACGTATGTATGTATGTACGCACGTGTATATATACATATATATATATGTATATATAGAAAAGACTATATGTATCTCTCTCTCTCTCTCTTTCTCTCCCTCTCTCTCTCGCTCTCTCTCCCTCTCTGTGTGCAGCGCCGACCGCGAGACCGCCCGCCGTCGGAACTCCTCCTGCCCCGCCTCCTCTTCAGCACTGCCCACGTGGCCATTCCTCACCCATGAGTGGACTCGCAGCGGGTCTCTCACTCGGCACGCCGCCGGACTCCCCGTGGCTCCCAGGCCTGCCGCCTCACTGCGCGCGACCTGCCCGGCTCGTCTTCCCGACCACGACGCCCCCGGGGAGCGGCGTCGCCGACCCCCGAGCTCGCCCATCCGCGGAGCTCGCAAGGCCCGAGACGGCTCTCAAATCTGTGAAGCTCGGAGGGGGGACGGAGGCTCGCGGCTTTCCCGCAGCCTTCGCGTGCACTCTTGCCCTGGCCCTTCGCTCCCGTCTCCTCCCCTCCCCACGTCTATCCGGATCCAGACCGCCTGTTTCCTGCTCCAGTCCTCCGTTCTCCCGCCATCCCTCCTCCGTCCATCCCGTCCCTGGGGCGGGCGAAGAGGAGGTGGGGGAGGAGGCAGCAACCGGATCGCCCCTCTGGTTCTCATCATCATCCTCTGTGCTCCTCGGCACACGTGCGAAGCTACTTTCCTTATCTTCATCCTCCTCCTCCTCCTCCTCCTCCTCCTCCTCCTCCTCCTCATCATCATCATCATCATCATCATCATCATCATCATCATCATCATCACGACGATCATCAGCATCATCACCATCATCATCATCATCATCATCAGCAGCAGCCGCCTCCTCCTCCTCCTCCTCCTCCTCCTCTTACTGCTCCTCCTCCTCCTTCTCCTCCTTCTCCTCCTCTTCCTCCGCCTACTCCTCCGCCTCCTCCTGCATGACCTTCCCTCGTGAATACCACCTCTCTGCCGCACCCCGAGGCCAGTCGGAAGGGCGGGCTGGGCGCTTCGCACGACGTCCTTACCATCTATGAGCCAGAAGCTTCACGGATGGAGTGCGGGTGGCCTCCAAACTGTGGCTGTCGCCAAAGCACCACGCACATTCGTTTCAAAGATTTGCAAGACCTTCACGGACTGAGGACGGTCGTGTTCAAACTGTGGTCATTTCCCGAGCGCCGCGCACATTCGTTCCGAAAGAGTGCCAGAGCTCGATCTCGCCTCAGCGCCACGCACATTCGTCGCAAAATTTGCATGAGTCTCACGGATTGAGGGCGGATCCTTTTTCAACATGCGAGTCACTCTTCACCACCGCGCAAATTCGTTTCGAAAAAGTGCCAGAGCTCCACGGCTTGAGGGCGGCTCGCTTTCAAAATGTGGCTCTCGCCTCAGCGCCGCGCACACTCGCCGGAAAAAAACCGCATGAGTCTCACGGATTGAGGGCGGACCCTTTTTCAACATGCGAGTCACTCCTCACCACCGAACAAATTCGTTTCGACAAAGTGCCAGAGCTCCACGGCTTGAGGACGGCTCGTTTTCAAAATGTGGCTCTCGCCTAAGCGCCACGCACATTCGTCGCAAAATTTGCATGAGTCTCACAGATTGAAGGCGGATCCTTTTTCAACATGCGAGTCACTCCTCACCACCGCGCATATTCGTTTCGACAAAGTGCCAGAGCTCCATGGCTTGAGGGCGGCTCGCTTTCAAAATGTGGCTCTCGCCTCAGCGCCGCGCACATTCGTCGGAAAAAATCGCATGAGTCTCACGGATTGAGGGCGGATCCTTTTTTCAACATGCGATTCACTCCTTACCACCGCGCAAGTTCGTTTCGACAAAGTGCCAGAGCTCCACGGCTTGAGGGCGGTTCGCTTTCGAAATGTGGCTCTCGCCTCAGCGCCGCGCAAACTCGCTGCAAAAAATCGCATGAGTCTCACGGATTGAGGGCGGATCCTTTTGTCAACATGCGATTCACTCCTTACCACCGCACAATTTCGTTTCGAACAAGTGCCAGAGCTCCACGGATTGAGGGCGGTTCGCTTTCGAAATGTGGCTCTCGACTTCGCGCCAGGCAAGATCGGTGTCATATACGTGCAGGATTTTCACGGATTGAGGGCGGCTCGTTTTCAAAATCTGGATCTCGCCTCACCGCCGCGCACATTCGTCGCAACAAATCGCATGAGCTTCACGGATTGACGGCGGATCCTTTTCACCATGCGATTCACCACTTAGCGCCGCGCACATTCGTTTCAAACATCGCAAGCACTTCACGGATTGAGGGCGGCTCGCTTTCACAGTGTAGCTCCCGCCGTGGCGCCGCGCACAATCGTTTCAAACGTTTGCAACAGTTGCATTGGTTCTCATGGTCAACGTACCAGCCAGGGTGTCATGGAAAGATTCAGGGCTGTCAGGACGCAATAGTTACGTTGATTCACCAGGAACGGCGTTCTGGCACAATTCAAAATCGCCAAAACGCAACAGTCTGGTTCACTCGTGGTTTTGAAGGTGCTTTGGTACGCTTCCTGATGTTCACACGCTTGTCCCCCAACGGGGCACTCCCATCAGTGGGGACGACCCCTTGTAGAGGCCCATGAAGAGGAAGCCTGGAGGGAGGCTGTATCCCAACATCGTTGAGGAGTCTTGGGTTTACACTGGTCCTCCTCCCCCTCCTCTTCATCACCATCCTCCTCTTCAACTCTTGTTCTCGCCCCAGCTGCGCGCACTCTCGTCTTAAAAATTGTCAGACGCTCACGGGTGAGGAGCGGGCGGTTTTCAAAATGGGGCTCTCACCTTAGCGCCGCACACACTCGCAGCACAAATCTGCAAAACCTTCACAGATGGAGGGCGGTTCATTTTCAAAATGTGGATCTCGCCTCAGCGCCGCGCACATTCGTCGCAAAAAATCGCATGAGTTTCACTGATTTGGGGCGGATCCTTTTCACCATGCCATTCACTCCTTAGCGCCGCGCACATTCGTTTCGACAAAGTGCCAGAGCTCCACGGCTTGAGGGCGGCTCGCTTTCAAAATGTGGAACTCGCCTCAGCGCCGCGCAAATTCCCCTTCAAAAAATCGCATGAGTCTCACGGATTGAAGGCGGACCCTTTTTCAACGTGCGATTCACTCCTTACCACCGCGTAAATTCGTTTCGACAAAGTGCCAGAGCTCCACGGCTTGAGGGCGGTGCGCTTTCAAGATGTGGAACTCGCCTCAGCGCCACGCACATTCGTCGCAAAATTTGCATGAGTCTCACAGATTGAAGGCGGATCCTTTTTCAACATGCGAATAACTCCGTACCACCGCGCAAATTCGTTTCGACAAGGTGCCAGAGCTCCACGGCTTGAGGGCGGCTCGCTTTCAAAATGTGGATCTCGCCTCAGCGCCGCGCACACCCGCCTCAAAAAATCGCATGAGTCTCACGGATTGAGGGCGGATCCTTTTTCAACATGCGATTCACTCCTTACCACCGCACAATTTCGTTTCGAACAAGTGCCAGAGCTCCACGGATTGAGGGCGGTTCGCTTTCGAAATGTGGCTCTCGACTTCGCGCCAGACAAGATCGTGTCAGATACGTGCAGGATTTTCACGGATTGAGGGCGGCTCGTTTTCAAAATCTGGATCTCGCCTCACCGCCGCGCACATTCGTCGCAACAAATCGCATGAGCTTCACGGATTGACGGCGGATCCTTTCCACCATGCGATTCACCACTTAGCGCCGCGCAGATTCGTTTCAAACATCGCAAGCACTTCACGGATTGAGGGCGGCTCGCTTTCACAGTGTAGCTCTCGCCGTGGCGCCGCGCACAATCGTTTCAAACGCCTGCAAGAGTTTCATTGGTTACAAAACCTTCAATGATGGAGGGCGGCTCATTTTCAAATGTGGTTCTCGCTTTAGCGCCGAGCATATTTGTTTTCAAACATCGCAAGACTCCACGGATTGAGGGAGGCTCGCTTTCAAAATGTGGTTTTCGCCTTTGCGCCGCGCACACTCGCTTCAAACATTTGCATCGGCTTCACAGAATCAGGGCGGCTCGTTTTCAAAATGTGGCACTCGATTTAGCGCCCCGCACATTCGTCGCAACAAATTGCACGAGCTTCATGGATGGAGGGCGGCTCCTTTTCAAAATGCGGCTCTCGGCTTCGCGTCGCACCCACTCGTCCTGAAAACAAGCGCTTCACGGATTGAGGGCGGCCCGTTTTCAAAATGTGGCTCTCCCTTGGGAGCCCGCGCACATTCGTTTCAAACAATTGCAAGAGTTTCATTGGTTCTCATGGTCAACGTACCCGGATTGGGGCTTTGAACCAATCAGGACTGTCAGGGCGCAGCAGCTACGTTGATTCGCCAGGAACGGTGTTTTGGCACGATTCGAAATCGCCAGGTCGCAACAGTCAGGTTGACATGTGTCATTGGAGGTGCTTTGGTACGCTTCCGGATGTTCATACGCTTGTCCCCCAATGGGGCACTCCCATAAGTGGGAATGAACCCTTGTAAGGGCCCATGAAGAGAGTTTGAAGGGAGGCTGTATTTCAACTTCGTTAGTGATTCTTGGGCTTACAATGGTCCTCCTCCTGATCCTCCTCCTCATCCTCCTCCTCTTCCGGGACGCTCGCGCCTCGTTATTCTCCTCCTCCTCCTCCTCCTCCTCCTCCTCCTCCTCCTCCTCCCCTTCCTCTTAAAGTATTGTTCTTGCCTTAGTGGCGCGCACATTCGTCTTAAAAGATGCCCGAATCTAACGGCTTGAATCTTTGCAAGAGCTCCACGTATTGAGGGCGGCTCGTTTTGAAAATGTGACTCTCGCATTAGCGCCGCGCACATTCGTCCTGAAGGTTTGCAAGGGCTTCACGGATTAGGGGCGGACCAATTCCAAAACATGTGGTTCTCGCCTGAGCGCCGCACACATTCGTCTTAAAACGTCGCAAGAGCTTCACGGATTGACGGCGGGCCGTTTTCAAAATGTGGCTCTCGCGTTAGCGCCGCGCATACTCGTCTTAAGCATGTGCAAGAGTTTGACGGGTTCCCATGGCCAACGTACCAGAAATGGTCTTACGGAACGCTTCAGGGTTGTCAGGGCGCAACAATTACGTTGGCTCGCGGTGTTGGAGTCCCAGGAGCGGGGGTCTGGCACGAGTCAGGATCGCCAAGGCGCGACAGTCAAGTTAATCCGTGGCTTTGGGATTCCGAGAACGGTGCTTTGCCACACATCAGGATCTTCAAACGGTCGTCTCCCAACGGGGCACTTCCCTCAGTGAAAATGAACCCTTGTAGGGGTTTATGAAGAGGGAGCTTTGAGGGGGGCTGTATTCCAACATCGTTGATGAGTCTTGGGTTTACACTGGTCCTCATCCTCCTCCTCGCCATCAGCAGCAGCAGCAGCATCATTCTCATCAGCAGTATCATCGTCGTCGCCGTCGTCGTCGTGATCACCACCACCATCCTGCTCCTCCTCCTCCTCCGACTCCGACTCCGACTCCGACTCCGACTCCGACTCCGACTCCGACTCCGACTCCGACTCCGACTCCGACTCCTCATCATCATCCGCAGCACCTTTTTCATCAGCATCACCATCGTCGTCGCCCGTCGTCGTCGTCACCACCACCATCATCACCACCACCTCCTCCTCCTCCGCCTCCTCCTCCTCCTCCTCCTCCTCCGCCTCCTCTCCTCCTCCTCCTCCTCTCCTCCTCTCCCTCCTCATCATCATCATCATCCCCTCCTCCTCCTCCTCCTCCGCCTCCTCCTCCTCCTCCTCCTCCTCCTCCTCCTCCTCCTCCTCCTCCTCATCGTCGTACCCTGGCTTCTCGATCCGTATTCCGCATGCCGCCACGCCGCCCGGGCGCGCAGCCGCGCGCGGAGGCCACCGCCGCCGTCGGGGCGCGGGGTCCTTCCCGGATGCCCTGCGCTGAGCCACGACGGAGAAGACCTCTCGGAGGCTCCGTGGGCCGCGAGAGGGGGAGGGCCCTGACATCATCACGTCGTGAAAAGGAAAAGCAACAAAAAAACAAAAACACAAAAACAAAACAAAAAAAAACGACGGGAAGACTGGGCAAAGTGTCGGTCTCTGGGGGCCCCGCCGGCCACCAGGGACCGTCAAAAACTACTCAGGGTGAAAAGCAGACCCTGGGGAAGGGGTCCATCCTTATCGCTGAGAAGCCATGATGCGACAACAAAAAAACGACGTTGGATGTCTGAGTGGGGAGGGAACACGCGGATCGGGAAGGAGGGGTGGAGAGGGGGGGGCGATGATGAGGGGAAGGAGATGGAGGGGTGGGAGGGAGAAGGGGAGGGACATCATCATCATCATCATCATCATCATCATCATCATCATCATCATCATCAGCATCATCATCATCATCATCATCATCATCAGCATCATCATCATCATCATCATCATCAGCATCAGCAGCAGCAGCAGCAACAGCAGCATCAGCATCAGCATCAGCATCAGCATCATCCTCCTCCTGCTCGACCTCCCCCCCCGCATCCAGGTCTGCCGCCCGACTGCCCTGACCCTACTGCGCTGGGCGATCGGCAGCGCTGCGGCCAAAAATGTGTCGGCTACCTTGATCGCTCCTGCCCTCTATTGCCGGCTACACGAAAGAGTGGCCCTAGGCAAGGAGTGACCTTGAGCGCGCGGATCAAAGGGTCGCAGCGTGGCCAAATCCAAGCGCGCAAGCAGTCATCATCGCATCGCGCTCAGCGATCGGGCCACTCCTACACGTCGTTCATTGCTAATCGTGATCATTTCAAAGTGTGTCCGTTTCTGAGTGCTCCTGGCCCCCTAGTGGCCAGGAAGAGACCCAGGATAGAACGATTAGAAATGAAAGGGTGTTGGCCCCCAAAAGAAATCAAAGACCTCGAAGAATTACAGTCGGGGCGTTGACCTACGGAACCCTAAATAAGGAACGAGGCCCCTTTTTTCCAGAAGTTAAACTTCGATTTCCTAGCGAAAACCCAAGGAAAGCCTGAGGCAAGCTGTGAAGCACTTAAGGAACGCGGAGCCCTCCCCAACGAAGAGGGTTCCTTCTTCAGGACCTCGAAGAACTAGAAATGAACCACGTGTACTTGGGCGCCCGACTTATCCGGGGTAACTCGGGTCCGGGGTAACTCGGGTTCGGAATCCCGAAAAGCGAACCCGAGTTAGCCCTGACCCGAGTTACCCCTGATGATGTGGGGCTCTGGACGCCCGAATTATCCGGGGTAACTCGGGTCCGGGGTAACTCGGGTTTGGATTCCCGAAAAACGAACCCGAGTTATCCCTGACCCGAGTTACCCCTGATGATTCAGGGCTCTGGTGTACGTGCAGTCGTGCCCAGAGCCACGGCGCAGCACAGAGAGAAAAGAGGCGGCCCGCCGCCTCGCGCACGGCACGGTAGATGAGGCCCTGGCGGGCCTGCGCGCGCGCGGCGCACAGGGCGCGGGCGGGGCCCACCGCACGGAGGGACGGCCGAGAGACCAGAAGGAGGAGGAGGAGGAGGAAGCGAAGGACGAGGAGGAGGAGGAGGAAGAGGAGGAGGAGATCGAGGCGCGAGCGTCCTGGAGGAGGAGGAGGACAGCGTACAGGGGGGTTCAGCTCCACCCTAAGAGGAAGGCGCGGCGGCGCCTGGAGACGAAGCCGCACGGGTCGCGGTCGTCGGCAAGCACGTATGCGGCAGGGAGGCCGCACCAGAAAGAAGAACAGACGTGGCAGAAATCCGATGCTGGTGATGCGACGCGAGGGGAGAAGCAGGGGAGGAGCACGCAGCAGCCAGAGCAGAGCTCAACGGAGCGACGGACGAGGTGGGGAATGAGGGAAGCGCCAGCGGCATAGCGATCTTCGAGGGAGGGGAGCGAGGGGGGACGGCAGAGGGCAGCAGCAGGGAGGGCTCAAGGGACGAGGGAGGCAGAACGGGCGGAGGGGCAGGCGTGGCGCCGAGCGTGGGAGGACAGAGCGGGGCGTGCGGGGCGAAAGAAGACAGAGGGGCAGTCGAAAAGATGCATCGACGGGAAGGCCTGAAAGGCGAGAGCTCAGGGCGGGACGGGGTCCACGACGCGGACCACGGGGAGGGAGGGGATAGACTCTGAGTCGACGGGCTGGCCATCAGGGTACATCCTGGAGGAGGAGGAGGAGGAGGAGGAGGAGGAGGAGGAGGAGGAGGAGGAGGAGGGCGAGGGGGAGGGGGAGGAGGAGGAGGGGGAAGTAGTAAAGGGCAGAGGGAGGCGGAGGGGGGCGAGCAGAGGCAGGAGAAGCAAGATAAGCAGGACGATGAGCAGCACAGGCTGCAGCAATCGGGTGGTGAGCAGAGGGAGGACGGAAGAGGAAGAGGCTGAGGCGCAGGCAGGAAAAGAACGAGAACGAAAGCACGATGCAGGAGGAGGGATGGGGGGGGGAGGAGGAGGAGGAGGAGGAAGACTGGTGCAAACCCAAATCTCATGAACGATATTGACCTAAACCATAGCTTCTGGTTCCCTCTTCGCAGGCACCTACAAGGTTTCATGTCATTGAGTTGAATGCCCTGTTGGAAGACAACCGTTCGAAAATCCGGAAGGAACTGTGCCAGAACACCACTCCTGGAACTTCAACGCTCGAATCTCCGCTACTGTTGCGTCTTGATGATTCTGAATCGCGCCAGAATGCCATTCCTGGGACTCCAGCACCGCGAATCAACGTGACTGCTGCGCCCTGCCAGTTCGACACAGCGCCAAAACGCCAATGCTGGGACGTTGACCATGAGAATCCTTGAGACTGCTGCAAACTCTTAAGACGAATGCGCGCGGCGGCGCTAAGGCGAGAGCCACATGTTGAAAAAGAACCGCCCTCCATCCCTGGAACTCTTGCAAACTGTTAAGACGAATGTGTGCGGCGCTCAGGCGAGAGCCACATTTCGAAAACGGCATGCCCTCCATCCGTGAAACTTCTGCCACTTATCTAACGAGTGTTCGCGGTGCGTGAGCGAGAGACGCATTGTGAAAAGGAACTGCCCTCCATCCCTGAAGCTACTGCAAACTTTGGGGACGACTGTGCGCGGTGCGAAGGCGAGAACTTGACAACGGCCCTGCCCACCCTCGATCCGTGAAGCTATTGCAAACTTTTGATACACGTGCACGCGGCGCTCAGGCGACAGCCACATCTCGAAAACCACCAGCCCTCCGTCCGTGAAGCTCCTGCAGATTCTGAGCTTCAGGATCGTGAGTGGTGACGACGCCCCAAGCGAAACGCCCGGCCCGCCCTTTCGACCAGCCTCGGGGTGCGACAGGGAGGAATGATATATTGCAACGGAAAAATGGAGCGAGCAAAAGAAGGAGCGACGGAGCCGGGAGCAGGAAGCAGTGAGGAGGCAGGAGGATGGAAGGAGGGAGGGCAGAGGAGGGAAGAGGGGCAGGAAGAGGGACGCCCAGTGTAGACCAAGCATACATCAACGATGCTGCAACGCAGCGACCCATCCCAAGACACTTCTTCAGGGTTCCCTGAAAGTTGTCCTTGTACTACGTGAAGCGTCCTCTTGAAAAAGCGAGCGCCAACTGGTATGGCATGCAGAGGAAAGCCACGCTTTTTTGAAGAGACGCCCTCTAAGCGTATCTTTACTAGACGTGTGAGCATGCAGGGCCATGAAGCACAAGGAGCTGTCAAGCGAGTCACAGATTGGTTGGAATGGAATCGCCCACCACTTGTGCAGCTGTTGGACATTGGGAGCGCTGAAAGCTGAAACTCCGAAGGACTCTCAAGCGATAACACCAGTTTTAGAAAGAACCACCCTCCGCCCGTATAGATTCTCAGGGTTCCCAGGGTGGAAGATAACCAGCACCTGGTAACCTCAATCGTCGACGTATGTCATCTTACGTTGGTCACTTCAGGCTTGCTTTGACAACAGTGGCCAATAGATCCAGGCAGATGCTTGGAACAAAGAACTACCAAACTGGCCGCCACTGACGGGCGCAGCACATACTTAATCGACCAGGTGGCAGAAGCCCAGATGGGGACTCCCCCTGCTTTTCCCCACCCCCACCCCACCCACACACACCACCCACACGCCTCATCCCAATACATCCGCCCCTTCAACTGCCCCTCCCCAACTGGCCCTACACCAGCGCGCCTCGTCCCGCTCGCCGAACATCGTGTGGGTCTTCCCGGCGCCGGTGGCCCCATACCTGAATCCGAGGCGAAGGCAGCACGACGGCTCGGACAGAAGCGATGAGTCCAGAGGCACCTGACATCCTGATTATCATCATCATCATCACCACCACCATCATCATCATCATCATCATCATCGTCATCATCATCAGCATTATCATCAGCATCATCATCATCTTCAGCATCATCATTATCATCGTCAACATCAGCAGCAGCATCAGCATCAGCATCATCATCGTCATTAGCATCCTCACAATTAGTATGATCATTAGCACTACTCTCAGTACTAGTATCATCGCCCTAATCATCATGTTCATCGTCAGAATGTTCATCATCATGTTCATCATCATCATCATCATCATCATCATCATCATCATCATCATCATCATCATCATCATCATCATCATCATCATCATCATCATCATCATCATTCATCACGACACAGTCATTATCAGCATCACCACCACCATTATCACCCATCATCGCCATCATCAATATCATCAGCATCATCATCAGCATCGTCATCGTAATGCTCATGCTCACCATCATCTTCATCGTCATCTGCACCACCACCACCATGACCATCAACATCACTATCACCATCACTACCGTCATCGTCATCACCACCGTCATCGCCAACCTGTCCTCCTCAAACGCCCTCTTCATCCTCTCACGTCTGCTCCTGCTCCTCCTCATCCTTCTCCTTATCCTTTTCCATAGTCTTCTTATTATTATAATATCCTTCTCCTCCTCGCCTCCCTCCTCCTCCTCCTCCTGCTGCTCCTCCTGCCCCTCCTGCCCCTCCTCCTTCTCATACCCAACGTTTCTTTATCTAGCCAGTCCCCCCTTATTCTTGCTCTTCAGGCCGTAACCCCCATTGTGGGGGGGAGGCCCTTGTCCTTCCCCTTACCCTCCGTTTTCCACTCCGGAGCGAGATAAACGGCTGAAACGGTGGAGGGGGGAAGAAGGGAGGGGAGGGTGGAGGGGAGAGGACGGGAGGGGAGGAGAAAGGGAGGAGAAGGGAGGGGAGGGGGGAGGGGAAGGGAGGAGGGAAGGGAGGGGGGAGGGGGAGAGGACGGGGAGGGGAGCGCAGAACCGACCCGGGCGAGCGGGCCCGAAGGCGCTTCGCGGTGCTCCCACAACTGAGCAGAAACTTTGAAAAGGGCACACCCTGTAGGGACGGTTTGCAGCACATCGCTGAGCGGTGCTGCAGCCTGCACTGGACACAGGACCACCCCAGAACAGCAGCCAGACGAGCTGGGTTTGCACCGTCTTTCCTCGCTGAGCTCCGGGCGGGTTTCTGCACTGGCGCTGCCGCCGCCAACCCCGTCGTCAGGGCCCACGAGTCGGATGACGGCGACATCGAGAGTGGCGTTTGCCGACGCATGCCAAGCCAGACTGCGAGGAGTTCGATATCCCCTGAACTGCACGGGCACGCAATAGCAGCTGGGAGGATAGACAAGACCGTCGGGTCGAGCAAGAAAAAACAGCACGGGCGTGACAAGCAAGAGGGAGGCACCCGGGCGAGCAAACAGAAACAACGACTCGGGTGAGCTGGCCCGAAGGCGCATCGCTGTGCACACAAACACACACAGACACAGTTGGGATGGACGACTTCGATGTCGACGTCGACGTCGACGCCGGGGACACCGACGACGACGACGACGATGACGTCGACGGGGGAGGGGGAGTGGGAGGGGAGCGGGAGGGTGGATGGTGGGAAGGAGGAAGGAGGAGGAGGAGGAGGAGGAGGAAGGAGGAGGGAGGAGGAGGAGGAGCATAGATGGCCTTAAAGGATGGAAGGGATGGCGGAGGGGAGCAGGAGCAGGAGCAGGAGAGATGAGGGCCAGATGGGGAGCGCTCGGAGCCCATCGCTGGGGGGCCAGGCATGCGGGAGCACACGAACACGGTGGCGCTGCGGCCCTCCTCGGCGCGTCCAAGCCGGGGATAGGCAGGGACGAGGGGAAACGTCAAGAGGGGGAAGGGGGGGACCGGCTCGGGAGGGGGGGGGGGGAGCTGGAATCGGCTCTACATCGCCGATAGATCGGCGGTAGGCCCCGCACAGCGAATCCGCAAGTTCCTGAGCAGGGCGAGTCATCGGGGCCTCGTCGGCTATGCACGGGCGATCTGGGGTCGACGCATCTGCATCCCCCCCGAGACCCTCGTTGCTACTGTGAAGGGAGGGGGGGCAGGGAGGGGAGCGGGAGCGCGAGAGCGAGGGCGAGCGAGGCGAGGACTGGCGGGGCGACCAACAAAAGAACTGGCGGCGATCATCCCAACGAAGAGGATGAAGGACTCGAGGGTTCTGCGAGGGTGGTGGAGGAGGGTGCGGAGCCATGGTCAAGGTACCCCCGCGGCACAGTACATCATCTCGGTAATCGCCGCCGCCGCTGCTGCTCTTCCTCCTCCTCCTCCTCCTCCTCCTCCTCCTCCTCCTCCTCCTCCTCCTCCTCGCATCATCCTCCCTCTCCCTCCTCCTCTTCCTCCTCCTCCTCCTCTCTCTCCTCCTCCTCGTCCTCCTCTTCCTCCTCCTCCTCCTCCGCATCATCCTCCTCCTCCTTCTCCTCCTCCTCCTCTTCCCTCTCCTCCTCCTTCTCCTCCTCCTCCTCCTCCTCCTCTCCTCCTCCTCCACCTTCTCCTCCTCCATTATTTTCCTAATTATCCCAGTGCGACCCTACCTAGGAGTTGGAGCCCCTAGGAAAGCAGCATTAGTAGTAACAGAAAAGCTAAGCTAAAGCTAAGATAAAGCTAAGCTAAAGCTAAGCTAAAGCTAAGCTAAAGCTAAGTTAAAGTTAAGCTAAAGATAAGCTAAAGCTAAGCTAAAGCTAAGATAAAGCTAAGCTAAAGCTAAGCTAAACCTAAGTTAAAGCTAAGCTAAAGCTAAGCTAAAGCTAAGCTAAAACTAAGCTAACGCTAAGCTAGAGCTAAGCTAAAGTTAAGCTAGAGCTAAGCTGAAGCTAAGCTAAAGCTAAGCTGAAGCTAAGCTGAAGCTAAGCTAAAGCTAAGCTGAAGCTAAGCTAGAGCTAAGCTAAAGCTAAGCTGAAGCTAAGCTGTCGCTAAGCTAGAGCTACGCTAAAGCTAAGCTGAAGCTAAGCTGAAGCTAAGCTAAAGCTAAGCTCAAGCTAAGCTACAGCTAAGCTAAAGCTAAGCTAAAGCTAAGCTGAAGCTAAGCTGAAGCTAAGCTAAAGCTAAGCTAGAGCTAAGCTGAAGCTAAGCTGAAGCTAAGCTGAAGCTAAGCTAGAGCTAAGCTAGAGCTAAGCTAGAGCTAAGCTGAAGCTAAGCTGAAGCTAAGCTAAAGCTAAGTTAAAGCTGAGCTGAAGCTAAGCTAAAGCTAAGCTAAAGCTAAGCTGAAACTAAGCTAATGCTAAGCTAAAGCTAAGCTAAAGCTAAAGCTAAGCTGAAGCTAAGCTAAGCTGGGTGAACCCAGGGGGCGCAACTGGGGGAACCGCGGGGCGGGGACTGGGGGAACCGCCCGGGGCGATTTCCATTGCCCGGCCCCTTTAAGCTAAGAGAGTAAGAACCCTTCTAGGCAGAGCCTAGGTAGGGAATAAAATAACTCCTCCCTGTCGCACCCCGAGGCAGGTCGAAAGGGTGGGCCGGGCGTTTCGCCATATATTTCCTCACCATCTATGACCCTGAAGCTTGAACATAGGCAACAGCTTCACAGATAAAGGGCAAATGCGCCGCGCATTCGTTGTAACATTTGCAAGAGCTTCACTGCTTGAGGGCGGGCAGTTTTCAAAATGTGGTTCTCGCCTTAGCGCCGCGCTCATTCGTTGTACAAACATTGCGAGAGTTTCACAGATCGAAGGCGAGTGGCTTTCAAAATGTGGCTCTCGCCTTAGCGCCGCGCACATTCGTTTTAAAAAGTTACGAGAGCTTCACAGATTGAGGGCGGGTCGTTTTCAAAATGTGGCTCTCGCCTTAGCGCCGCGCACATTCACTGTGAAGAAATGCGAGAGTTTCACGAATTGAGGGCGGCTAGCTTTCAAAAAGAGGCTCTCGCTTCAGCGCCGCGCACACTCGCTGCAAAAAAAACAAAATTCCCACGTATTGAGGGCTGCTTCTTTTCAGAATGTAGACCTCGCCTTAGCGCCGCGCACACTCGTCTTAAACATTTGCCAGAGTTTAACGGATGTCTGTGGTGAACGTGCCAGAAATGGAATTCTGGAAGGACTCAGGATTGTGAGGCGCAGCAGTTAAATTGACTCGCGGCGTTGGACTCCAAGGAATGGTGCTCTGGCACGATTCTGGATCGTCAAAGCGCAACACTCAGATTGATTCGCAGCGCTGGGGTCCCGAGATTGTGTTTTGGCACGCCTCTGGGTCTTCAAATGGTTGTCTCCCAACGAGGCAGTTTCCTTAGTGGGCACGAACCCTTGTAGTGGCCCTGTAAGAGGTAGCTTAGAGGGAAAGTTATTCCAACATCGTTGATGAGTCTTGGGTTTGCATTGGTCCTCCTATGCCGTTGCTGCTGCTACGCCCCCCATTTCTCCTCCCCTCTCCCCACCATCCCTCCCGCCCGCCCTCCCCTCCATCCGTGCCTCTTCCCCCTTCCCCGCAATGCTTCATCCTCTGCCTCTGTGGGCGTTGTTTGCCCGAGGCCCCGCTCTATGGGGGTGAGGTCCCTGGGAATGGAACGGCCCAATGAGGCTCCTCGACGCACTGCGGAATCCGGCTTCACGCAAGAGTGACCCTTGGCAAGGGTGACCTTTGGTGGGCGGCTGAACGGGGGACGCGGGGTGGCCAATCCTGGGCGCGCAAGCTGCTGCTACTGCTTCGAGCTCAACGATCGAATGGCCCCATTGGGCCCGCACTGGCCAGCGCTTCCTCCTCCTCCCTCCTCCTCCTCCTCCTCCTCCTCCGCCTCCTCCGACGACGACGACGAAATGTCATCCGGACGCCTGGTCGAGGAGTGGCCCCGACCACTCCGAGCAGGACGGCTGCCAGCCGCACTGCCCAGCAGAGCGGGCGGGCGCGAGGAGGAAGAGGGGGAGAGAGGGAGGGAGGGAGGAGGGGAGGGAGGGAGGAAGGGAGGACGGAGGAGGGAGGGAGGAAGGAGCAAGGGAGAAAGAGGGCGGAAGGAAGGAGGGAGGGAGGAGGGAGGAAGGGAGGAAGGAGGGAGGGAGGGAGGAAGGAGGGAGGAGGGAGGGAGGAAGGAAGGGAGGAGGGAGGAGGGAGGAAGGAAGGAATGAGCAAGGGAGGAAGAGAGGGCGGGGTGGACGAGGAGGGAACACGGAGGGAGGGAGCGGAGCGGAGGGCAAAGGAGCGAGGCTGGCGGCCAGCCTCCATGCCCGGAGAGCGCCCTGCGGCGCTGCTTCTCTTCCCTCGTCCCGCGGAACGCGGCGCCCTCCAGCGCGCACCCCCCCTCTCCTCCTCCTCCTCCTCTCCTCCTCCTCCCTCCTCCTCCTCCTCCTCCTCCTCCTCCTCCTCCTCCTCCCTCCTCCCTCCTCCTCCCTCCCTCCTCCTCCTCCTCTCCTCTCCTCCTCCTCTCCTCCCTCCTCCCCTCTGACGACCCTACCAGACCACCCCAACCCAACCCGAAGACCCGAATTTCGGGGTGGTTTTTTCGATGTTTCCCGACCCCCCCCCCACTAGAAGTCGAGGGTAAATCTGAGCCTTCGGGTTGGGTTGGGGTGGTTTGGTGGGTGGTGACCCTCGTCCCGCGGAACGCGGCGCGCTCCAGCGCGCACCCCCCGTCTCCCTGCTCGCCTGCGCCTTGGCCTGCCAACCACGAAGAGGAGGAGGGAGGAGGGAGAGGAGAGGAGGAGGAGGAGGAGGAGGAGGAGGAGGAGGAGGAGGAGGAGGAGGAGGAGGAGGAGGAGGAGGAGGAGGTTGCCCGCCCCTCCAGCGAGGGCGCGGGGTCCTGCACGGCGGAGCAGACGAGGGGCGAGCAGGACCACGAGTACACCTCCCGGGGCGGGCCAGGAGCGTTGCGTGCCAGCGCCGATGGTCGATCCTCCTCCCCCTCCTCCCCTCCTCCCCTCCTCCTCCTCCTCCTCCTCCTCCCTCCTCCTCCTCCTCCCTCCTCCTCCTCCTCCTCCTCATCCTCCTCCTCCTCCTCCTCCTCCTCCTCCTCCGTCGCCGCTGGCTGCCGCCACTGGCTGGAGCCAACCTCGGGGGGTATCACCCAACGTCGACCCCAAAGATGCGTTTTGCTCGAAAGCCAAGGCGCCTGGTCCACAACTGGCCCTCGTGAGGGTCGCCACTTCTCGATGGCCAGGGCGCCTGGCCCATACATAGCTGGCCCGCAGAGCCGGCAGAGGTCTCTGGCACCAGGGGGGGCGCCATCCCTGTGAGGGAACAGAATGATCGATGCTGTCTGGAGATGTACAGAGGGTACCCACGCTCAAAAATCGTGCTTTCCGAAATATGTGAGCACCCTCTTCGTCGATATTCGAGGGCCCTGGGGTGTCCCAGAGCCTCTGTGGGTCCCTGGGGCCTCGGGGAGAAAGAGATAACCGTGGGGCACGTGCCGGCAGACCGACTTCCAATCTGATGTGCTTCTGCAGTTCCCACCAGCAGTCGAGCAGCACCGTCACCCACAGGGTTTCGCTCCAGCGACGTTCAACTAACGTTCCAAGCCCTTACCCGAGAAGCCGATGACACTCAAGCAGGGTCGGACTGTCAGCCGCAGCGCTGTGCAGCGGTTGGTGTGCGTGCGCGCGTGCGTGTGCGCATGCGAGAGCGCGCATGCGTGTGCTCGCGTGCGCGTGCAAGAATGTGTGCGCATGCGCGTGTGTGCCAACCAGCGTGGAGGGTAAGCGTCGTGGACCTCCAGAGCTTCCTCCTCCTCATCCTCCTGCGCCTCCTGCTCCTCCTGCTCCTCCTCCTCCTCCTCCTCCTCCTCCTCCTCCTCCTCCTCCTCCTCCTCCTCCTCCTCCTCCTCCTCTTCCTCCTCATACCCCTCTGCCTCCTCTTCCTACTGTAGCTCTTCTCCCTCCTCCTCCTCCTCCTCATCCTCCTCTTCCTCATCATCATCATCATCGTCATCAGCATCGTCATCATCATAATCATCATCAGTATCACCATCATCAGCATCATCATCATCATCAGCATCATCATCATCAGCAGCATCATCATCACCATCATCAGCAGCATCAGCAGTATCAGCATCATCAGCATCAACAGTATCATCAGCATCAGCAGCAGCATCATCATCATCACCATCAGCATGGCCATCACCATCACCATCACCAGCATCATCACCGACACCACCATCATCATCGTCACCATCATCAGGAGCATCATCAGCATCATCAGCAGCAGCAGCATCATCAGCAGCATGATCGTCATCATCATCATCAGCAGCATCATCAGCATCGTCATCATCATCATCATCAGCAGCATCCTCATCCTCATCATCACCAGCATCATCATCAGCATGATCGTCATCATCAGCATCATTATCACCACCATGATCATCATCATCAGCATTGTCATTATCATCATCAGCAGCAGCAGCATCCTCAGCCTTATCCTGATCCTCATCCTCCTCATCCCCCTCCTCCTTCCTGAGTCACGTGCCTACTCCTCCATATTCTTTCCTTGGAAACAACTCGCGCCTGACCCACCCCGAGACACCGGTAGCGCGGGCCAGGATACTTCATCATCATTGATCCTTAAACGTGAAACTTGCAGCAGTTTCACAGATAGAGGGAGGGCCGTGTTCAAAATATGACTCTCGCCTTAGGGTCGGGCACATTCTCCTTCAAAGCTTGCCAGAGTTTCATGGATGAAGGGTGGGCGGTGTTCGAATTGTGGTTCTCGCCTTAGCGCCGCGCACATTCGTCCCAAAAGTTTGTGAGAGCTTCACGGATTGAAGGCGGGTCGTTTTCAAAATGTGGCTCTCGTCTTAGCGCTGCGCACATCGTGGGTTTACAACAGTTTCGAGGAGTCTTGTGGTTAACGTTCCAGGAATCATGCTTTGGCAGAATATATGACGGCCAGGGATCAACAGGCACGTTGATTCGCGGCATTGATCCCAGGAATGGCGTTATGGCACGATCCTGGGCCGTCAGGGCGCAGCAGTAACGCTGATTCGCGGCGTTGACGTCTCAAGAACGGTGCCCTGGCATGGTTCAGGATTTTCAAGCGGCTGTCTTCCAACAGGGCACGTCCGTCAGTGAGAATGAACAGCTGCAGGGGCTTAAGGCGAAAGAAACGTGGTGAGATGGCGTATTGCAACATTATTGATGAGTCTTGGGTTTACACTGGTCCTCCTCCTCCTCCTCCTCCTTCTTCGCCCTCCCTTCTAAGGTCTGCCCTCTACCCTCGAGGATCGGATCGGGGAGGGCGAGTATGAAACACAGCTGGCCTTCTTCGTGCGTGTGATTGCCTCTTCTCTGACCTCGGGAAGCCTATGGGGCCTCTACGGACGCCCGAGGGTCTGGATCTGGGTCCATCCTGCTCCCCGCTACTTCCGTGTACTCCTCACCCTCCCTGCGCGGAGAAGCAAGTCCGCACGAAGCCACCCACGGAGCACCTGGAGGAAGGCGAGGGCAAAGCAGGACAGCGCAAGCTCTCCCTCTGTCCCCGCTTCCTCCTCCTCCTCATCCTCCTCCTCCTCCTCATCATCATCGTCGTCGTCGTCATCAGCATCATCATCATCATCATCATCATCAGCAGCAGCAGCATCAGCAGCAGCATCATCATCGGTCGTTCGTTCGCAGCTTCAGGGCAGGATGTGGAAGCCCAATCACAAAGGGTGAAAGCAAACAGAGCTGATGAGGGACGAGGGCGGTGGCAGCTGCAGCATGGCAGCAGCGGCCAGCATCTACAAAGTAGTGGCATCCTCCTACCAAAGTGCTGCCCTTTAAAGTCTGGCGTAGGCTGCATATTCCCCTGCCATGGGCCCCCCAGATCAGGAGTAGTCCTCCTCCTCCTCCTCCTCCTCCTCCTCGTCCTCCTCCTCCTCGTCCTCCTCCTCCTCTTCCTCCTCCTCCTCCGCCTCCTCCCAATCCTCCCTCTCCCTCTCATCGCCCTTTTCCCCGTCCCCCCTCTTCCTCCCCCTTATCCCTCCTCCCCCTCCCCGTCCTCTACCTCTTCCTCCTCCCCCCTTCCTTCCGCCTCCTCTCCTCCGCTCTCGCCTCCTCCCCTTTTCCCGAACCCATCCCTCCTCCCCGATTCCCCTCCTCCTTCTCTCTCTCTCTCTCTCTCTCTCTCTTTCCCCCCCTTCCTCCCCCCCCAACCCCCCCCGCGCGCTGGACCTCCTCCTGGGTGGACTCCGTCCCAAAGACGCGGTCGAACGTCCGCTCCTGACGCTCCGTACCAGGCGGGTGGGCGGTGGCCGCAGGGCGACCGTCGGCGCGTGCCGTCGGCTTCACGACGAGCACGGCCCACTCGGACGGCGTGCGAGGCCAGAATTAGCACCACAGTACCACCGCCGTCCTCCTCCTCCTCCTCCTCCTCCTCCTCCTCCTCCTCCTCCTCCTCCTCCTCCTCCTCCTCCTCCTCCTCCTCTCCTCCTCCTCCTCCTCCTCTCCCTCTCCTCCTTCCTCTTCCTTCCCCTTCTCCTCCGCATGTTTCTCCTCCTCTTCCTTGTTCTGCTGCTTTTCCTGGTATTCCTCCTCCTCCTCCTCCTCCTCCTCCTCCTCCTCCTCCTGCCCTTGCTCCTGCTCTTCCTCCTCCTCCTTCTCCTCCTCCTCCCTTTCTTCCTTCTCTATACAATCTCCGTATAAATCCGCGGGCCCCACTTGCGGGGCCATCAGGCTGCGAAGATTAGGCTTTCATGCTCCCTGCAACACTTCCCGTTTCAAGTCTGCAATGTTACAGTCCTGCGTGTTGCTTCCTACCGTACATTGTTACTGAACGCGTGAGGAAAGGGAGCCCCAAACCAGCCTTTTCTGCCACGCCCAGATCGCGCTGTCTGAATTCATGGGGGGGCCGTGGGACACATAATTATCCTGACGAAGGACCCAACCATATGCAGTTGTGCGCACCGCCACTGTGAAGATCTTCTTCGGTGAAGCTCCCTATGGGGCCACGAATCGCTGCACTGGGTGGGGGGAACGCATGCTGGCGGTAGCACTGGGGCCATCAGTGGAGCTCCCTACCGGGCCACGAAACGCTGCACTGGGTGGGTGCAAACGCCAAATTGGATGTGTGGGACGCATGCGGACGGTCCCACTGGGGGCTTCGGTGGAGCTCCTTATGGGGCCACGAAACGCTGTACTGGGCGGGTGGAAATGCCAAAGTGGGCTTCGGGGCGCATGCAGGCGATCCCACTGGGGGCTTTGGTGGAGCTCCATCTGGGGCCACGAAACGCTGTACTGGGTGGGTGAAACTGCCAAATTGGGCTTGCGGGACGCACGCGGGCGGTCCCACCGGGGGCTTCGGTGGAGCTCCTAATGAGACCACGAAACGATCTACTGGGTTGGTGAAAATGCCGACTTGAGTGTGCGGGACGCACGCGGACGGTCCCACTGGGCGCTTCGGTGAAGCTTCCTATGGGGCCACGAAGCGCTGTACTGGGCGGGTGGAAATGCCAAAGTGGGCTTCCGGGACGCATGCAGGCGGTCCCATTGGGGGCTTCGGTGGAGCTCCATATGTGGCCACGAAACGTTGTACTTGGTGGGTGAAACTGCCAAATTGGGTTTCTGGGACGCACGCGGGCGGTCCCACCGGGGGCTTCGGTGGAGCTCCTAATGAGACCACGAACCGATATACTGGGTTGGTGAAAATGCCTACTTGGGTATGCGGGACGCATGCGGACGGTCCCACCGGGGGCTTCGGTGGAGCTCCCTATGGGGCCACGACACGCTGTACTGGGTGGGTGGAAATGCCAAATTGGATGTGTGGGACGCGTGTGGGCGGTCCCAGTGGGAGCTTCGGTGGAGCTCCCTATTGGGGCCACGAAGCGTTGTACTGATGGATGAAAATGTCAAATTGCGCGTGCGGGGCGAATGCGGGCGGTCCCACTGGGGGCTTCGGTGGAACTCCCTATGGGGCCACGAAACGCTGTGCTGGGTGGGTGACAACGCCAATGTGGGTTTGCGGGACGCATGCGAACGGCCCCCCTGGCCACGAAACGCTGTACTGGGTGTGGCGGACGGATGTGGCCACCCCCACTGGGGCCTCCGATGAAGTTCCTCATGGGGCCCCGAAGCGCTGTACTGGGTGTGGCGGACGCATGCGGCCACCCCCACTGGACCCTTCGGTGGAGTTCCCTGTGGGGCCACGAAACGCTGTACTGGGTGTGGCGGACGCATGCGGCCACCCCCACTGGGGCCTTGGATGGGGTACCCTATGGGGCCACGAAGCGCTGTACTGGGTGTGGCGGACGCGTGTGATACCCCAACCGGGGCCTTACGTGGAGCTCCCTATGGGGCCACGAAACGCTGTACTGGGCGTGGCGGACGCATGTGGGACCCCCACTGGGGCCTTCGGTATAGCTCCCTATAGGGGCCACGAAACGCTGTACTGGGTGTGGCGGACGCAAGTCGTACCCCCAGTGGGGCCTTACGTGGGGCTCCCTATGGGGCCACGAAACGCTGTACTGAGTGTGGCGGACGCATGCGGTACACCCCCACTGGGAGGGGGGGGCATGGGAGGAGGAGACGCGGGGACCGTTCCTTCAAAACGAAAACCCAACACCACAGGATGGTTGTAAAAGTGCATGGGGCTCTAAGCCCTTGTAAATTACGCTACCAAGGACCCCCACATATTTATATGGTGGCTGGAGCGATGATAGCTGAAATGAAGCATGTGAGAATGATGTTGGTGGCCGTTCCCTGCGCACCCCCTATGGTGTCGAAAAATTGCCACGCCTGCTACGCCCTGGACGACCTGCTCGGATAGCAGCCGCGCTGAGAGGCCACCACCTGCGCACCCCCGGAGGTTACGGGAATATGCCACGCCTGCTACGCGGATGGGCGGAATGGGAGGGAGGGGCGGAATGGGAGGGCGGGAAGGAGGATGGGGGCGACAGAAACCAGGGGAGGGAGGAGGAACGAGGGCGAAAGGGACAGGGCGGAGAGGAAAGGGATGGACAGAAAGAAGGAGAGAGGGTTCTGCTCTCGAGGAGCCAGTCGCCTTTTGTGGGCACTCCGCTGTGTTGCACAAAGCCTGCGAAGGTTTACCGATGGGCGAAGGAAAGCGGCCGCCAGGGGAGGTCGAGGAGGGAGAAGGAGGGAGAAGGAGGGAGAATGGGAAGGAGGAGGAAATGATGGAGAAGAGGAGGGAGGAGCACAGGAGGAGGGAAGGAGGCAGGGGGAGAGGAGAGTCATGTCAGGGGGGTAAGGCAAGGAGGGGAGAACGCATCTCGCTGAAGGGAATCTACGCCGCACCAGCGCGGAGACCCCGGCGGCGCGGCGCGGAAGCCAAAACGTGTTGTGAATTCAACTAGAGCCAGAATGTTTACACTCCTGATGTGGAGGGAGTGTCACGCCGGGCATGCCCTGCGCAATGGTCCGCATAGACGCCACGCTCGGGGACCACCCCCTGCGCACCCCCTCTGGTGTCGGGAAACAGCCACGCCGGCTACGCCCTGCGCCATGACCCGCATGGACGCCGCGCTCGGGGACCACTCCCAGCGCACCCCCTCTGGCGTCGAGAAAGTGCCACGCTTGCTATGCTCTGCGCCATGGCCCGCATAGACGCCGCGCTCGGGGACCACCCCCTGCGCACCCCCTCTGGTGCCGAGAAAGTGCCACGCCTGCTATGCCCCGCGCCATGGCCCGCGTAGACGCCGCGCTCGGGGACCGCACCCTGCGCAACCCCGATGGTGTCGAGAAAGTGCCACGCCTGCTATTCCCTGCGCCATGGCCCGCATAGACGCCGCGCTCGGGGACCACCCCCTGCGCACCCCCGACGGGGTCGAGAAAGTGCCACGCCTGCTATGCCCTGCGCCATGGCCCGCATAGACGCCACGCTCGGGAACCACCCCCTGCGCACCCCCTCTGGTGTCGGGAAACAGCCACGCCTGCTACGCCCTGCGCCATGACCCGCATAGACGCCGCGCTCGGGGACCACCCCCTGCGCACCCCCATATGGTGCCGAGGAAATGCCACGCATGCTATGCCCTGCGCCATGGCCCGCATAACTAGACGCAGCGTTCGGGGACCACCTCCTGCGCACCCCCTGAGGTGTCGAGAAAGCGCCACGCCTGCTATGCCCAGCGCCATGGCCCGCGTAGACGCCGCGCTCGGGGACTACACCCTGCGCACCCTTATGGTGTCGAGAAAAAACCACGCCTGCTATGCCCCGCGCCATAGCCCGCATAGACGCCGCGCTCGGGGACCACCCCCTGCGCACCCCCTTCTGGTGCCGAGGAAATGCCACGCCTGCTATGCCCTGCGCCATGACCCGCATAGACGCAGCGCTCGGGGACCACCCCCTGCGCACCCCCGACGGTGTCGAGAAAGTACCACGGCTGCTATGCCCTGCGCCATGGCTCGCATAGACGCCGCCCTCAGGGACCATCCCCTTCACACCCCCTATGGTGTCGACAAAACCCAACGCCTGCTGTGCCCTGGACGACCGTCGTGCTGTGCTGTGCTGTGCTGAGCTGTGCTGTGCTGCGCTGAGGTGCGATGCTGTGCTGTGCAGTGCTGTGCTGGGCTGTACTATGCTGAGCTAAGCTGTGCTGTGCTATGCTGTGCTGTGCTGTGTGAGAAGGAGAAGGAGGAGGAGGGGAGGTGAGTGAGGGTCGCGGGTGCGACGCGGCAGGGATGAAAACCAGAACCTCACGAAACATGCGGGGATTACCCATATTCGCGTCCCCGAAGCCATACAATCTCGTAAAGTACACAACAGTTGCGTCTTCGAGGCAATAAGCCCGCGTGAACTACGCACGATTCGCGTCCCCGAATCCATAAACCCACGTAAATTGTATAATATGTGCGTCCCCGAAGCCATAAATTCGCTAAAATTACCTAATAATCGCGTCCCCGAGGCCGCACACCCTCGAAATTCACACGATAATCGCATGTCCGAAATCACAAACCCTCGTAAATTAAACGATGTTCGCGTCCCCGAGGCTATACAACCTCGTAGATTACAAAATATTCGCGCCGACGAGGCCGTAAACGTTCGAAAAGTATGCAATAGTCGCGTTCACGAAACCATGCAACCTCGTAAAGTACGCAATTGTTGCGTCCTCGAAGCCATAAACCCCCGTAAATTACGCACGATTCGCGTCCCCGAAGCCATAAGCCCACGTAAAGCAAGCAATATTCGCGCCCCCGAAGCTATGAACCTTCGAACATTATACAGTGTTCGCGTCCCCGGGGCTACAAACCCTCGTAAAGTACACCGC